TGGGTTTACCTGACAGGTGTGAGGCTGAGTGAGCGAGCCCGTGAGAGAAGCACAGAGAGAGAGAGAGAGATCATGGATCACCAGAGACAGAGGAGTCTGTCCACATCAGGAGAATCGCTGTACGCCGTGCTCGGGGTCGACAAGAACGCCACCACAGAGGACATCAAGAAATGCTACAGGTGCGTGCGCACACACACACAAGTGCAGCAGTTGGCCACTAGAGGGAGCCAGGGTCAAAGGTTATAGAGCATGTTGAAAGGATTGTTTGTGACTCCCCCTCCTCACACGGATCAGCTTTTCCTGCCACAGCTTCAGAGAGCTGATTCATCTTTTAATGTTTTCATGTTTAAACACAGCTGTAGAGGAACGTCCGGATTTATCCCGACATCATTTAAACTCATTTCCTCCTTTTTCCTGTTCAATCTCTGTTTTATATATTTTCTGAAAATACACGTTTTAATTCATTGTTCTGTTTAATTTTAGTAAATAATAACCACGGGTTTCTCACTTTTCTGTCAGTTTAAAAAGAAAACACAGGAATAAAAATGTGTGTCAAAGGGAAACAGATGATAATCAGGAAAGCTCCGGAGATACAGAAGCAAATGAAAGGTGAGTGAGCTCAGACTTTGATTCTTTCTTTTTTGTTGTTTTTAGGAAGCTGGCGCTGAAGTTTCACCCAGACAAAAACCCGGACAACCCCGACGCAGCAGACAAGTTTAAGGAAATCAACAACGCCCACTCCATCCTGGTGGACGCCACCAAGAAGAACATCTACGACAAATACGGTTCCCTGGGGCTGTACGTGGCCGAGCAGTTCGGAGAGGAGAACGTCAACACCTACTTTGTTCTGTCCAGCTGGTGGGCCAAGGTGGGTCAGCTTCCACGATCTCGCAGCGCGTTTGATAAGCAGGCGTGAAGCTTTCAGGCGCTGCTCGTGTCTTTAACGTGCTCCTAATCATAGAAGGATCCGGGTACGTTCCTTCCTCGCACACAGGTGAGCCTGTAGAGACCAACACAAAGGTTTTAGCCGTCGCACACAAACTCTACGGAAACACGTGAACCGATGCAAATGTGACTGCAGCATCGTCCCTCACACGCGTCCAGGTGTGTGCCCGTGCTCACATCACCACCCGGGCGTCTGCAGGGTTCCTCTGGGACCGGGCCGTCTTTAAACGCCTCCAGTAACTCTGAATGAGCCCGTCGTTATCTTATCGGTACGCAAAAGAACTGCAACTGCAGCGTTTCCTGAAACCTTTCAATCAAACTGTGATAGGTGAGAGTTATCAAAGTGTGGTGATAATGATAATAAACTTTCCAAACACATTCTGACACATGACAGGTCCGGACGGACACTTAGGAACATGATGAAGAGAAATACTCATCGCTTTAAACAGACGTCTGCATCCCAAAGAAAGGAACGTGTCTGCAGGCAGGATGGTGAAAGTCTGATTTTATGACCTTAGTTTAGATCAAACTGGGCTTGAACCTCAAAAATGCCTCTGAGAGAAGCTCCAGGAGGGCTGAACCGAAGCTGCGCACCTCTGCAGGTCACCCTGAGCCCACAGAGGAAGCGTTTACCCCGAGCTCATGTGACTCTGCGTCCTGTCAAGGTATCGGGACATCACAGCACACTGAGTGCGGCTTGGAGGCCGGTAAGAGCTTCACATGGAAGAAGAGCTTTGTTTAAAACTTCAACATATTTAAATCATTTCTTCAGGAATTCATCGGGACCCCTTTTAGAGTTCCCAAATTTGTCAGCGTGAACCTCCAGACGTTCCAACATCATGACCTTGATCATTTCCTCGTTTATATTAAAGATCTCAGTTGTGCTAATATTACTTTGTGTAGAATATTAGAGGAATTAATGAAATCACTGACACGTTACATGAAGAGCAGTGGTCCTAATGTTGATCCCTGTGGGACTCCATAAATGAGACTTGATGGCAGGATGCTGTGGTAGCCATGCTGGGTCAGTCTGCCCCCCCCACGCCATCACACCTCCTCCTCCATGCTTCACAGCAGGAACCATTCGTGTAGAGACCATCGTTCACCTTTTCTGCACAAAGACACGGCAGGTGGAACTAAAGATCACAGCTCTACGCTCATCAAACCAAAGCACAAACTCCCACTGGTCTAACGTCCAGTCCTTGTTTCTTGGCCCAAACAAATCTCTTCTTGCTTTTCCTTAGTCGTGGTTTCTCAGCAGTGCTGCCATCTTCTGTTTCAGTCCGTTATTACACTCTTAAATCCTGCTACTTATTCCTGCGTCTTTTGGGATCTTAAAAAGCTTCAAACGATACGTCGAGTATTAAATTAGTCGTCGACGACTTTGATATTTGACGTAATCGTGGCAGTGACGACATCATGAAGCTCACTGAGAGAAGGCCGAGGGTTTGCAGTCAACAAAGCAAAGGACGGCTGCTTCAGAATCTAAAATAAAATCTCGATTCATATATTTGATGTTTGT